ATAATAAAACTAATAATAATAATAATAATAATAATAATAATAATAATAAGATTTTCATGATTTTGAGATTCCTGGGAATTTGAATAACACCATGTTGGGTGGTATTCAAATTACCTTAAAATGAGGAAAAGTGAATCTCATGGTAATCACTTTCTTGAGAATCTAAAAATTAGAATTCTTGTACCAAACATGGTAATATTGCAAATTCTTATTCTCATTCATAAGATTACTGCATACTAAACGCCCCCCTAATGGCATACGATGTCAGTAAAAACGTTAAGACGGAATGAATGAGATAGAAGGGGTATTATGATAAGTTTTGTATATATTAAGAATTGTTTTAAACTGTTTTAAAAAATTAAGAGACACTTTAAAATATAGTACATATTTTAAAGAGTGTTTATAGAAATAATCCTAATAACAATCATCTTCATAAGCTTTTTCTTTTCTTTTCTTTTCCTTAAGTGAATTGTAGTTTTTTTAGAGAATATTATTTTATAGTTTTTTTAAATGAATTATTGTTTTTGTCACTATGAAAGGATAGTTTGTTAAGGGAAAAAAAAACTGTAGTTTGAAAAATAAGAGACGTGCTTAATTGTAAGAGAAACTGTTAAATTTATTTTTAGAATGCATGAATTTAGATTTTTTTTTCTTTTTATTCTTGATTAATACAATTTTTATTAATATAGTTATTTGATTAAAAAAATATTAATTAAGAGTAAGTGTAAAAATTCATACTCGTATACTCTAAGAGATATTTGTCATTCTTTCCCTTAATGTAATTAAAGAAATAGTAGGAAATAGGCCAATATGAAAAGCTTAAGAAAGTATATAGGTCAATTTTTAGTTATAAAAATTAATATGCCATAATTTGTCAAGTTATGGTTCATAATCAGATAAATTATGGATAAACTTATCAAGTTATGGTTTATAACCAGATAAATTATGGACAAACTTGTTAAGTTAGGATTCATAACCAGATAATTTATGAACAATAACTTGTCAAGTTATAGTTCATAACCAGACAAGTCATGGAAGAAAATAGTAATTTGACATGTTTATTAACTTATGTAAACTATTGACCTATTAATTTTAATTCATCTCAAATCTTGACATATTTCTCACTTTCTTTAATAAATTAATGGATCATCCAACAAAGAATTAAAAATAAGTTAATGGGCCTAGTCTGAAAGAGGAATTTGATCCCCCTCTTAAAATCCCAAATCCTAATTCAATTTTTCACTCTTAAAATTCCAAACCCTAGACAATCTCTCTCTAAAATCCAAAATTAATCTTTTTGATCTCACAAATTCCTGTTCGATTGTTGCAGCTAAGAAGACGTAAAAGCCAAATAATGTCTAAAACGGAATGCGAGGATGGAAGCTTGCCAGAGCAAGTACAAGCTCGCATTGGATGCCAATAAAGGGCGGCGGAGGAGAGAATATTTAAGGTCACTTTAGAATAGTTTGTGTTTGTATTTTTAAGTAGTAAAAGAAGATAAAATTTTTTTATTAATTTTTAAATAGTGTCTCAAAAAGAATTTTTATATTTAAAAAGAGTTTTTGAAATTGTTTAGATAAAAAAGTCAAAAATATTTATTGTTATAAAAAATAATATAATAAAGAGATATAGATGTGATATTTAGTTTGTTGTTCACAAATAAAAGGTTAAAAATGTAAATAAAAAAGCTTTTTATAAGTTTTTTTCCTAAGCACCAAGAAGATAATTTGTTCTAAAAGTGTTTAAAAAAACTAAAAATACTTTAAGGTTATCCATCCAAACATGTCTAAAAGTGACTTTTAGATTAAATAAGCTAAAAATAGTTTTTTTTAAGCCAATCCAAACGGGTCCTAAACATAAAAAAATACCCAAAATACGACTCCATTTTATCAAAATACCACTTTTATCACTTTTATTATGTAAATGCTCAAAACACTTGGGCTTGTTCTTTTGAGTGAAAAACTCAAAAAAAGACAATTCGAATTACAATTTCATTCGAGTACATGTTCTTTTAAGTTTAAACTTGAGTTTAAACTCGAGTTCAAACTCGAGTTTAGGACTAAAACTCGAGTTCAAGTTTCCCCTTCAACTCGAGTTCAGAAACTCGAACTCAAATTAATAAACAGTATTTTTTCTATTATTAAAAATGCTATAACTTTTTCGTTTTAATTCTGATTGAGATGATTTTTTTTTCTATGCGTTGACACCAAAGAGACGAATAAACCCCGACCCATATATCATATTAAAATTTTTCATCAGCATTGAGTTAGTATTAAAATACTATCTAAATACAAATTCAAGTTTTGACTCACTCAAACACAAACTCAAAAAGATTCTTATCTCAAACCATAACTCAAATGTACACAACTAAACACAGACTCAAGTTACAAGTTCAACTCAAGTTATAATTCAAATTCAACTCAAGAATTATACTAAGTTAAACTTTAAAAAAACATCCCCTCTATGTTTATAAAAACAAACTCAAAACACCCTAAAGCGATTAAATTTTTAGAAATTCGATGGTTTCCCTTCCTAGTCTATATTAAAGGTTATTTTAGATATGTTTTAACTAACAAATTAAATAAAAAATTTAAAGATACTCAAATAAATATTCCAATCAAAAAAATACTTTAATTATTTTGAGAGTTTTTAGTTTTTTATGATTGATTTTGTTTAAAATTTTTATTAAGTCATATTTAAAATAACATTTAATATAGATTGAGAAAGGTAATTATGAAATTTTCAAAAACTAAATTTTTTTTAGGAATGTTTTGGATTTTTTTTTATAAACTAGTGTTTTGGATATTTATATAATAAGAATAGTGAAAAATATATTTTGACAAGACACAAGTATTTTGAATATTATCCATTTTTGTCTCATTATTACATGGGAGATGTCAAATCAAGATGAGGAATTAAAGTGACTTCTTGTTATTTTTTATCAACTTCAAATGTTAACAAAACCCCATTGTTTCTTCCTAACTTAGGGTAGGAACTATCATTTCTTGTGTTAAATTAATTTTTTAATAGTTTAATTTATAAGTGTTAGCTTAAAAATATGTAACATGTGATTATAAATATTGAGAAATTAAATCAGTTATGTTTGTAATTTTAACTGTTAAATTAATTTATTAACAGTCTAATTTGTAAGTGTCGGCTTAAAAATATACAACATGTGACTATAAATATTGAGAAATTAAACCAGTTATTAGCATTTCTGGCACGCTGAAAAACATTATAGAATATAGTAGATTTTTTAAATTTAAAATAGTAGATAGTATAATTTTTTTTTAAAAAAATTAATAGTATAATTATTTTAATTAGTTAGTAAGTGACCGAATTCTAAAAGATTTTTAAGTACATATAAAAAAATCACGTAATAATTCTCTTATAAAAAATTTAAATCAACATTTAAATCACGATTTAAATCCACTTTCAGTCGTTAAAATTTTTCTTTTTCTCATATTATCCTTCGTTTTAATTACAATTATAACTAATATTAAAAAAATTAACCAAAAGTTTGAAAAACCTAAATCCCAAACTTCTCTCTCACACACGTTCATTGCCTCTATCTTCCCTCCCTCTCGCGTTCTCTCTCTCTCTCTCTCTCTCGCGCGCGCGCGCGCGCGCAGTTTCTCTTTCCTTGCTTGCTCTCGATCTACGGTTGAATCGACGCCGGTGGCCGTCGCGGTGGATCTCCGGAGAAGATGACGGCGACGCTACGAACTTGGTGAACTGAATTGCAGTTCCTAGAAAGACGTTCTAAAGAGGGGAGAGAAAGGGGGTGCAAGGGATATTTCTGGGGTTTTGAAATTTTTTGATGTAAGTTTTGCTATTAATTTCTACTCCTTTAAATTTCTGCCATAAATTTTTATTTATTGCCTCTTCAATTATGCTATTTGCTTCATTCTCCCTTTTTCTTTGTTGTCCATAATTGTCAAAGTTTTTAAGCCTCGTGATTTCTACAGAATCAGAACTGTCCCTTGACCAAACTAGAATGGACTCAAGACAGAACGGAGATATCATCAAGTAATGCTTTTGTTTTTGTTTTTTTCTTTTCTTTTCTTTTAATTAGAGCTTTTCCTGATTAAATGTTCGTGTTTATTTTTAAATATTGGGTATGTAGGCATTTGGAGAAGCAGAATGAGCTACTTATGGAAGCCTATAGATCAATGTCGCATGAATTGCACAAACTTCAGGTTTTTCTTTAATTCATCTATTAGTTTCTTATAATTTTATTTCTAAGCATTGTTTTCTAGTTATAAATTTTTTATATATAACTTCTGTGTTGATGTGATCGTGATTAGAACTTTGGGTAGGTAGAGAGATTGATAGTTCACACTTCGTAGCAAACAAATTCGCCTATGTTTAAGAATTGAACGTTCTAATTCTTCATTATCTAGAGCAATAAAATTAAAGAAAAACAAATGTATAAGCACATACGAGATTTTTAGTAGTTCATCTCACTATGAAAGCTAGGTCCAATTAGAGCCGCTGTAGAATTTCACTATAATGAAGAATATTATGAGGGAAACCACGCGCTTCACGTCTCTCTCATATGTGTTTTCTCTAACCTCTCTAATAATCTAAAATCACTCCCTCCAACATAAGTAAAACTTGGACAGCCGAAATCTCTAGTTAGGGGTTTCTGTTCGAAGGTTATAAAATGTGGTGTGGGTTCATCTCTCTATGCTTCTATCACACTCTTCCTTCAAGAGAATAGCACCAATGACGATGCATTAGGGTTGTAGAGCGGCCTGAGCACGTGCCTAGCAGAATTCTAAAACTAAGGAACCAACTGGTTTCACACCGGGGGAACAACATCGAGAGCAACGACCCCAACGGCCCAACCGCTACTTCATTCCTCACTTGTTGGTATAGAAGCTCGAGAGTGGAAATATAATAAATATAGATAGTGCCATCCTTCGGAAGGGTCAACGGCCCCAACCGGAAGGGCTTAATTTAATATAATTGGGGCATGAGCGCCATTGTATTTATCACTTAAGCTTGACTCACTTTATAAAATTTGTATCTTCACAGCATCTATGGGTAAAAGATTATCACTGTTGTCAATCTCTCTTCAATTTTAGGGTGTTATAGGATAGGATCAATCCGTGTCGACTTCATAAAGGAAATATGGTAGTCCTTTATTTTTATAAAATTTCTCGTACTATTTAAGAGGTTTTTTTTCAAACAAAACGATTTACTTGGAAATATGTATTGATTTGACAGACGGAACATATGCCTCCTAAACAAAATTTAGGGAAGTATTTTTTTAACTATTTCTAGCAGTGTTTGCTTCATTCGTTTTTAATCAAAAGGATTCTGTGTAAACTTCTACAATTTGCAGGTAGAAGAAGAAATGCTGATGCGCAAGTTTTATGAGATTATGTCTGCTCATGGTAAAATTAAAAAGGTATCTCTTTTACTTGTGTATCTTTTAGTTGCCCTATCCATAATTCCCCCCTTAGACGAGTGCTTTGTTAGACATACTTTAATAACCGAGTGATATATTACATTAATACTTTTTTTTTTTTGGTTACTTGAGAACTTTTTTTGGGTAATTTCAGTAGATAAAATTTTTGTCCCATTTTTCTGGAGCACCATATAACTAGGCATTGTTATCAAACTATAGCGTGATCACCATTGGTACTACACAACTAATTTCGATGGTTTGTTTGCTTAAGGCCTTTAAAAGAAATCTGATTTGCACTTGTGCAGACTGAGGATCGTAGTATCGTTTTGGACGACCGCATTGTTGAAGAATCTACTGCGTTGGTTACTTCAACTAGCAATGAAGAACAGTGAAGACGTTGATATGTTTCTCTTTGACTTCTCTTCAAATTCTTGAATAATTGTAAATGCTCTTTTAATTTTTTTTTTTTTTTTTTTATATACGTTGCTCAGTTCAATTTCTGTTTAATTCTCTTTATTGCAAAGAATTGGTGGTCTGCATTTTCACGCTGCTATTTATTCTACCCTCTTAGACTAAACTTTGCAAGGTGATTGAAATCTGAGTAAAGTTTTTTTCTCAATTAAATCTTCGTAGTTTTTGCATTTAGGTGAAAATTTAGTATATATTCCGATTTGGTAAAATAGTAAGTTAGAAATTCAGTTGTTTTTAGGAGTCACTGAGCAAGCTGTCAGGTTTGCCGGGATCACCTGACACCAACCGACCGGCAGTGGTTGGTGGGAAAATTGACAAAACTATAATTGTGAGGTTCGATCACCGGTCTTGGGGGTTCCCAACCAGTGGAGGTGCGGTTCCCATTTGCTAAAAGAGAAAAATTAGAATGGTCGGTATTCCTCGCAAACAAACACCCATATCAGAATGAGCAACCATCTGCATTTTTTGGTGCGTGTTTGGAACCGTTTTTTAAAACAATTTTCACGTATTTTAAAAAGTAAAAAATGAAAATGAAAACGAAACGATGTTTATTTAGCAATTGTTTTAAAAACGAAAATGAAAATAAAAACAATGAGAATGATTTTTGTGAATGAATTAGAAAATAGCTGAAAGTTATTTTCACTTTTTTATTTTTATTTTTTTGTACTTATTAATAGTATTATAATACATTAATTAATAAACACAATTTTACTTTTTTATTATACTCAAAATAATTTTTTTAAAAAATTAAATAAACGCAATTACATAATCAATCTTAAAATAATTCTCAAAACAATCTTATTTTTATTTTTTATTAAAAATAAAAATATTTTGAGACTAATTTTAAACGCACAGAAGTTGGAACCCCATGAGAATGTGTATCCTATAGGCGTTTTTAGGTAATACACACGTGTGGCCAAAGCTTCTGTTGGAGGTTTAAATTAAATGAAATGATGTTACCCGTACAAGGAAACCAAATGGGTTATATTTGTAAATTAACTTCAATAGACAATAATGGGATTTGTCTCACTTACCTATTATGTCAAAAGTCTTCTTTTTTCTTTTTGAACTGCAATTATTATGTCGAAAGTTTGATTACGAATTTACGAGTATGATAAAAACGACATAGTTTTGTTCGAAAGGTTATGAGCGTTCGCCGCTCAATTAAGCATTTGGATTGACTTTTATGGATTTGAATTAATGAAAGCACAGTGGGTGTGATTAGCCGAATATTCGTTCGTTAATATCAATTCCAAGTTACTGTATTTGAATTAAATCCACTGCAACTTCATTCACAAATTTTTTTAAGGGAGGGAATTCACAAATTTTAAGTTAAACCTAAATCTTTTTCCAAACATCTATTTAAGTTTTAAATTTTATGACATGATAGAATAAACCAAATAGAACACCGTAATATTTAAATTTCAATAGAAAAATTATTATATAACAAACATTGATAAAAAAAACAAATAATTTATCATTAAGAGCGAATGAATCTGGACCTTTACTCTTTTATTCTTGATAAATATCATTTTATTTGTGTAATTATTTAACTAAAAAAATTATAAATTAAGAATAAAAGATAAAAATCTCGACACACACGTAACTTACCGGGTATTTTTCAATAGAAAAATAGTAGAAAATAGGCCAATATGAAAAGATTAAGAAAGTATATAGGCCAATTTTTAGTTATATAAATTAATAGGCTATAACTTGTCAAGTTATAGTTCATAGTCAGACAAATTATGGATAATAACTTGTCAAATTATGGTTCATAATCAGATAAATTATGAACAAAAATAATAATTTAACCTATTTATTAACTTAAGTAAACTATTAATTTATTAATTTTAATCCATCTCAAATCTTTAGCCTATTCTTCTCTTTCTCCCTTAATATTAGGAAGCGGAGTGAGTCCATAACTCACAAGGCCCAAGATCGAAACTTGGCTCTGATAAGGCTTCCAACCCTATTTAAATACTTTCACACGTGTATTTAAGCTTCAAAATTTGTAAATATAATACAATATTTGTTACATGAATGATGAGCCAAAGCGTTATCGTCTATATTCAAATTTTAGTACACTTTATCATCAAAAAATCATAGTGGCGCAGCGGAAGTCTGGTGGGTTCATAACCCACACGTCTCCAGATCCTGATCAAAACCTGGCTTTGATAAAAGAGAGCTTCCAGCCCTTTTTTTTTTTTTTTTTTCTTTTAGAAAACTACATGGCATTCCAAGGAAATCTAAAAGCTTTATATTTATGCCACTTGAACTCAAATAGATTATAGTTTTCTCATGAAATTAATGACATAGATTTTAAGTTTATAGCACTTAGTGACATGAATATTAAGATGATATCATTTGAATGGTATTTTTACATTTCTCCTCTCCTTTTTTTTTTCTTTTTAATCTCGATCAATTTCATTGGGTACCATTTTAATAGGGTATCCGTTCATTTTACTGATTCGAGTTTAGAATTCGAGTTGAGATGTGATTTTATGTGAGTGCTTTTTACTGTAACAAAAAAGTTAGATGTGATTGTTTCTGAGAGCTTTTTACTGTAGCAAAACTCGAATCAGCAAAATGAACGGGGCCGCCGATGCTACAAAGTGCATCTTCATTCACAAATTTCAAGTTAAAAAATATACTCAAATATTTTTACCAGACATGTATTTAGCTATATAATTTGGTAGTATCACACTATATTGTTATTCATTCTACCTTCTAAATACTTGTATACATATATGGGATCTCAATACACGCAATAAACACCAAATTAGAGTCCAAATTAGAGACACGCGGTTAAAACGTAGTGGGGTCATGACCCATAGCTCCTACGATCAAAACCCAACTTTGATAGGAGGATTTCTAGCCCATCACTTTTTAAGGGAGAATATATTTGCCCCTATTAAATTCATAAATGTCTTTATTTGGCATCATTCAACTTTACGGATTTAAATTTTCAATTTAAGTTAATAATTTATGAGAATTTTTAACTGTTAATAAAAAAAAATTAGATGTGATATTTTTTAAAAATTTTTAAATGTAAAAATTTAAAATTTAAAATTTAAATTAGTAAAACGAATAACGACGTTGATTGATACCATATCTCAAGAGTTCAGATTTACTATCATTTTCTTTTTTGTCTCATTGGTCATCCCTAAAGCTGCACAACGGGTAGTTTGGATGAGGCATGACGGTTTTTAAAATTTGATAGTTTGAGGGGGGAAAAATAAATTGGGAACGTCCATTATGCATGACGAGGTGGGGCAGCTTAAATTGTATAATTTACACGTAACCCATAGTCAGTATCGGTTTATTGACTTTATTGGGCTTTGTCAGGTAATTTTGTAATTAATTTTAAGTCTAGTGATTCAAATTTTATTACAGTAAAAATTTTCAGAAACAGTCACATCTAATTTTTTTATTATAATAAAAAATTATCACATAAAGTTACATATCAACTCTAATCATCAAACTAAACGGGTCCAATATATTTAGTATAATTAACTTGCTATCAAACGTGAAACACTGTGAACGTTTAGTTTATAAATTTAGAATCATGATTCAGAATTATTCTCAATTTACGTGTATTTTTTTAAAAAAAATATTATAACAAATCACGAACTATGATCCGAATCATGATACGAATCCATTAACTAAACGCACACTTATTCATATTTATCAAGAATCCAAGATCATACTTGTTAAATATTGTAAAACTCGTTTATTTCGTTGATTTAAGTTTTTAATTTAAATTGAGATGTAAAAATTTTTTACTATAAAAAAAATTAAATGTAATTTTTTTTAAAAACTTTTTACTACAATAAAATTCAAATTTTAAATTATAATCAGTAAAATAAACGGAACTCTAAAAAAACACTATACAACAAACATATATAATAATACTTGATAAAATTCCAGCACGCGCACAATAAGAGTAATAATAAAAGGGAAGTAAACTTGAGAAGAAAAACTCAAAAATATATAATAGAATGTTTGAATTATAAATTTAAAATTATAATTTAAAATTATTCTTATTTTACGTATATTTTTTATAAAAAAAAATTTATAATAAATTATGAATCATAATTTAAATCACATCAATCTCTCTCCTAAATATTTATGAGTCCTACATTATAATAAGGCCAGATGATTTCCAGAAATAGCAGTGGTGTGAAAAACCGAAATCATTACCATTGATTATGCATGTGGTTTAATTTGTCAGGTTGATGATGATGTGGCACATAAATAGAATGATGGGACGAGCGACAAAAACCGAGTCCAATTTGGTCGGGTTTTTTTTTTTTTTTTTTTTTTTTGCACAGTCCTATCTCTCAACTATTATTTTGATAATCCATTTAATTATTTAAGTAGTTTTAGCATTTAATATCTATTATGTGATAAAACCCTTTAACTTCAAATGATATGGTAAATATCTATTATTAAGGACAACTAAATAGGACAATATATTTGAAACAATAGGTTTGGACTCCTATAATAAAAATTGTAAAAATCCATCCTTTTATAGATCTCTTCTCTATATGCCTCTTTTTTATTTGCTTTATAAAAATGAACTTAAATTTTTTTTTTAAAAAAATCTAAAATCAAAACTATCGTTTGATTACATATCGGTCATGAGCGAGTTGGACAAATATTTCCAGCAATAGATCGTCAGGAAAAAAGGTCATGAACTCGGGTGTTATACCGTTCGGTTCGTTAATTTGAGTTGAGATGTGATGTTGTGTGAGAACTTTTTACTGTAATAAAAAATTTAAATGTGACTGTTTCTGAGAGCTTTTTACTGTAATAAAACTCGAATCAGTAAACAGAACGGGACCTTAATCGTGATATTGGTGGTTTTATAATTATTCTTATTTATGTTTTCCCCTTGCTGATCTCTTGTTGCTATATCCAATAACCGATTCATGAGCTGCAGAAGCTTCACTACAATTAATATATGCTTCGACCTCTCAAGTCTCAATCATGGTGATAAACTTGAATGGCTATGTGCCTATCTCATGGCTATGTAATGGAAAAATATGTAGGGCACATAAACTAGAAATCAATGTTAAAAAAGATTGGGGTATTTTTATTTTGAAAAAAAAAGGGTTTAAATCATTTTTAACAGATTTGTGTATTAAATATAATCTAAATGTATATATTTAATAAGATCAAAAATTAAGAGTACGGTTTTTGAATAAACCTAAAGCACATGACACAAAGATAATGCCTCGTTCATTTCACTAATTTGAATTTAAAAATTTGAGTTTTGTTACAGTAAAAAACTATAAAAAATAGTCACATTTTTTTATGATAATAAAAAATATTCATATAAAATCACATATTAACTCGAATTAATGAACTAAAGAGACCCTACATATCTCAATTAAAACTCTTTAGTCCAATGGCACTAAAAGTTTTGGATGGAGTGTGATTTGAGTGAGGGATTACCGGTTCAATCCCATCTTATACAAAAGAACGGAAAATATCTCTTTAAAATTTAAGCTAATGAGAGTATTTAAAGTTTATAGGACAAAATAAGAAGTGGATACATGTGATTGTAATCCATTTTGTTTGATGAGTTTTTGTTCGGTTTTTTATTTTTATTTTGGGACAAAATAATGCAGTGGGGGACATTCATAAATACAGCGGGCAAATCAAATCTCCTTTTTTGTGAAAAAAAATATCCCCATCAATTCGATTGGGAACCATTTTACTCAATGTGCATGAACTACTGAAAAATTAATGTTAGCATCAACTTTATTCACCCTTGATCAATTCAATTGGGGACCATTTCAATCATGGGCTACCAAAAATATTGTCATTTATTCTATTAAACTTATGTTGCACTATTTATTAATAAGCAATAAAAATGTTAAAATTATAAATTATAAATCAACTAAAAAGGCAACTTGGCATAAAATATTCTTATTGTTGTTAGGGAATTGAATTTTCATAGCTACCAAAGGAAAAAAAAAATAGCATATATATAACCAAACTATTTATAAAACTGGCACATATTATTAACAGAAACGACATTCCTCTGGACAATAAAGCAAAAGAAGAGTATTACATTACATAAAGAGAATAGATGTCATAAAGAGTTTTTCCATTTGTGCATAGAATGCTACATAGCTAGGTAGGATAATACACTCTAAACTGCCAAACTAACCACTCCGAACTAAAGGATCAAAAGAACAAAATAACTCGTAGAAATGTCTCCAGACTCTGAGTTTCCAATCCATAGCTATCTTCAAGTGAGAACAAACTGACAGTGAAGAAAGCCTGCAAAAACAACCACATATTAACATAGGCCCCGTTCACTTCGCTGATTCGAGTTTAGAATTCGAGTTTTTCTACAGTAAAAAACTCTCACAAACAATCACATCTAATTTTTTTGCTACAGTAAAAAACTCTCACATAAAGTCACATCTCAACTCGAATTCAAAACTCGAATCAACGAAGTGAACGAGGCCAACATTCCAAGCAATAATAATTCAAAATATAAGCCAAAATAAGAATTTAAAAAAAAAAAAAAAAAAGTTTTACTTGGGTCATTGTTGATTAACATAGCAGTGCCGCCAAAACTGCAAGTCCCTCCATTTCTCTTGTTCTTCTGCCAGTAGCTATTGAAGGCATAAGAAGCATGAGCCACGACAGAGTCAGGGGTGTAACAATTACCATGCGGCGTAATCTCATTGCAATCGGCGCCGCCGTCTCCGCAGGCGTAATCCAGGGCTGCCTGGAGGGTGTCTGCCGGAACAGTCGGCTTGGCCACACACCAAAGCTTGTGGATAATCCCATGGCCATTGTTTGGGGGCGGGGAAACTGGGTGAGCATGAGACGGATTACAAGGAGGTAATGCGTAGCTGTAAGGGGGACTAGCCGGGTAAACAACAGGAGCAATTTCTGGGGTGGAAGGGAAAGATAAATGGGGTGGTGGAAACGCTATTA